CGGGTTTCCCAGGCTAAGGCCAAATTGGTCAATTCAAACCAGAAGAGCAGGGTTTTGGTAAGCTCCACAAGAGTTTTCTCTAAGGGGTACTTAAGGGGATGGCCCTAGAAGGCAGGGGAGAGCCGATCACAAGGGCTGTTGGGGAGGTCATGTCAGGAACTTACATCTTCTTGTGACTCTGCAGGCTGCTACATAGGGCTTGTGTGAGGGGCCAGTGTCATTTTAAGCACCACCCTCCCCCGCCCCCCAAGCTACGTGGCCAAACAAAATGTATGTGGGGGCAGCAGTATCCTGGAGTAGCTTAAACTTCCACAACTGTCTAATATTCATCTCATTTAGTGTATTTTTCTTCTCAGACATTGTATTTTTCATCTATGGAAGTTTGATTTAGATTATTTTTTACATTTTTCATGTCTCAAGTTAACATGGTTCAGTCTTCTGGCTTCTTGAACACATGGGATACAGTTATAATAATTGTTGTAATATATTTTTCTTCTAGTCTAATCATCTGGCCTTGCTTTTAAGCTTTATTCACCAGGAGACAGAAATACAGCATTTAATTTAGGGCTAATTTCACCCCACTGCTGAGGCAGAATCCTTCTGAATATTCTACCTGACATCCCTGTGAAGTACGAGGTTTTCTACTGTGGCTGGTGGGAATGGGCAGAAAGTCTCATTCAAGGTATGGGTTGATGTTCATTGTTTTACGTAGGAATATCCAGTTTTTCCTGGTCCATTTATTGAAAAGACTCCTTTTTCTTTGATCTGTTTGTGCACTTTTGTTGAATATCAGTTGACTGTATATTTACTATTTCCTATAGGCCTCCATGAATGGTTGGCACTCAAGCAGCTCCTTCATTGTCCCTGTAGTGATTTACAGATTGCAGAGTGTTTTTTTCCACTGGGCAGACATTGTTCAACAGTGAGAAACAGGGGCACTGTAGTGGACACATCTGGTCACCAAGCTGAGTCCTGCCTTCTTATGATGGGAAGGCCCAGGCAGCAGTCATCTGCTATCTGCTGACTTCATTCTAAACCCTCTTGTGTATTCCCTTGTGTCCACATGAAGCTAGTCAAGGACTCTTGAGAAGAGAAAGTCTTCTGCAGCACTGAATGTGAATGAATTGTGCAGCTGCATATTACCTCCAACATGGATGACTCAGGAACAGATGTCAAGAGTATTAAGTCACAGAAGGACACATGTATTAAGATTCTATTTATATGAAAACAAAACAGACGAGACCAAATAATATATGGTTTATAGATACATTGAAGTATGATAAAACTATACAGAATTCGGGATGTTGGTTTCCTCTGGGTAGAAGAGAGAGGGCCATTGAGGAAGGACATTTGGGAGGCTTCAAAGTTACTAGTAATGCTTGATTTCTTAGGCTGAGTGTGGTGAGTGTACAGGCATCAAGGTTATGTTGTTATTCTTTTTCTTTAAGCCGTATGCACACTGTCACATAGAATGAAAATCATCCAGCCATTGCATCATATTTCCCCAGCAAAGATAAATGTTCCCTCTTCACACAGGGTGGACCATTGGAGGTGTCTGAAGAAGGTAAAGCCAAATTCTTCATTGACACTTGGTGTCTTGGTTTGCCCTTCTTTTGGACTCCTGGCAATGCAGAGGTCAATCAAAGATAGAACCATGCCTTGGTCTCCTGTTGCTTCTTGGGTAGTGAGGCAGAACTTCCTCTTACCTTGGGTTTTTAGACTCACGGAACGGAGAAGGAATGACAGTGGCCTTTCAGTAAGGGCACCAGGGATAAGACAAGGGGCCAAGGAGGGTGGCTCAGTTGGTTAAGGGTCTGCCTTCAGCTCAGGTCATGATCCTGGAGTCCTGGGATTGAGCCCCATGTCGGGCTCTCTGCTCAGTGGGGAGTTGGCTTCTCCCTCTCCCTCTGCCCGTCTCTGCTGTGCTCTTTCTCACTCTCTCTCTCCCTCAAATAAATAAATAAAATCTTAAAAAAAAAAAAAAAAGAGCCAAAGAGATCTCTTCAGGAGTTGGTTACTGTGGTCACTGAGAAACCCGTGCAAAGGCATATCCCTTCAGACCGAAGTCTGACAGTCATGAATCCAAAGCAGATACTGGAAGTGTCATCACTTCAAGTGGATTAGGATCTAAGAGACCAGGTAAGAGGCACTGGACCACCCAGTGAGTCACTTCAGTTATTTCATATGTGCTCTGAGGATAAGGAAAGTTACTGCTTCCAGAGCCAGGCTGAGGGGTAGCTGCGACCCAAGATAGCCTTTCTGCACCAGAACTAAAATCAGCTTCCATTTACTGAGTTCCTGCCCTGGGCCAGGCCCCATAATGAGTGCTTTTCCAGCACTGCATTGTGAATTTCTGTCTTCCTCTTTTCCGTTTTGTCTCGAGGCTTCAGAGTATATATAGAGAGGAAATGATTGAGCTTACCTCTCTCATCTGTGCTCTTTTCTGGAAGCTTTGGAAGGATGTTGTCCAGGAGGCCTTTGAGTGATACTGCACTTGCTTCTGAGAAGCTTCATGTTAGAGCTACAGAGGTGGAGGATGAGCCAAGGACCTGGAAGGGTACAGATAGTAAGCAGTAGTAGGAGAGCAGTTCTTACCTCCTAGTATCTTTTGACCCCTTTTTTTTCTATAAGCAGTAGATAGAGTTATCCTGTGGCTGGAATTGATGAGGTCATAGTGTGAGGAGAGTGCTGAAAATCTTGGCTGGACCCTGGGGGAGCTGATGGAGGAGCTAAGACAGCAGAGGAGGGACTGCAGACCGCACTGTGGGCCTCTTGAGGCTAAGAAGCAGAGAAGGCAGTCGTCAGATTAGCCATTTGGAGAGGGCAAAGGGGAAGAAGCCGGGTGAGAACTGAAGGGGCCCCGATGCCACAACACCTTGGCCCCCTACAGACCTCTGCTCTGTACCTGGCTCCACTGCAAGTGGTTCTGTGACTTTGGGAGAAATCTCTAAGCTGTGTCCCCCTCTCAGCCTGGTAAGAAGAAGATTACCTCTTCAAATTGTTGGGAAGGCAGAAAACTATAAAGTACACGACACTTGTTGCAATTAGTGTTGTTAGTAAACACTGAGCAGAATCTGTTCCCATTCCTTTCCCTGACAAATCAGAGATTAAAGCGTGTCCTGTACCGGAAGATCTGCCCTGCATGTGGGTGAGAGGAAAGTCAGCAATTTCTGAGCAATCAGGGAAAAGTAGGGGACTGGGGCTTCAAAGGCTCAGTGATGTTAGAGGATGAGATCAGGGAGTGAGATAGCTAAAAGGCTGATGGTATGCTGTAGTCCGAGAGTAGGTTCTGGGCGAAAAACTTCAGAGGTTGAGATGTCCTGGGTGCTGTTTTACTACTGTGCCATTAGGATTGAGGAGTAGTGAGCCCAGAATGGGGCGTGGGCCATCCCCCAATCTCTCAGAAGAGATGGACAGCTTGGCTGTGGAAGAGAAGACTGAGCACAAGTTGTGGCATGACTGCGAGGGCAGAGAGGTGAGCAGTAAAGAGAAGAAAGGGCTTGTGTCTCTGAGGGAATGAAAGTATTGTGCCAGCATGTAAGGGAATGGTCTGGGAACAGCCGTGAGGAGCCTTGGCTGTGATACAGGATAAGGCTGGGTCATGGGTAGCCTCTACTCAAGAGGGCCACAGGGCAAGGCTACGTGCAAAAGAGGTCGAGCTCTACTTGTTAGAGGCTGTGAAGCTTACAGGGCTCGACCCTCGATGCCTTGAACTGGGCTGCTGCTGCCCCAGGTGCTAAGGTTAGCATTATTTCCCTCTGACCGGTCATCTAGTTCTTCATTTATATTCAGGCTCCAAATCTTCCTCTTGTACCTAAAAGCTGCCTCCACCTCCCCCACTTCTTCCCATGCCCCATTAACACGTACACACAAGCACACATACACACTAGGCCTCTCTGCCTCCTGAAACCCCACCTCCTGAGGAAGACTTCAACTTGAAGTCTCCAAAATTCCTCACCTTGGCCTTTGCTCTTCTTGTCCTCACAATCTCCAGAGCTTTGGGGCTAACTTCCTAGCACTACATCTCGAGGAATCAGTCCATCTTCTTTGTCTTCTGTCCTCTGTCTTAGCAGTTAGATATTGATAACAAGATTACCAAGCTTGTGCCTTGAACTCCAAGAAGTACTTTCTCTCTTGTACAGTTGTGAAAACAAAGAAAGGCTATTAGAAGAACAGAAAGGATATAGCTTGGACCAGCTCCAAGGAGCAGCTTTACCCAGCTGTTTTATGGGTACTCTGGGTGCTTCATTTAAGTCTCCAAAGCAAGCCCAGTCTTGACACCTTCACCTCAGGTGTCTATCCTTTCTTTGGTCTGCCCCCTAGGGCCCATAATGAGCTATTCTGTATGACCTTGGCCGCCCAGGAAACAACAGCTCTCCTTGGACCTGAATCCTTGAACTGAGGAAGCCACATCCATTGTCCACATCCCACCCATCTTGTTCTTGTGAATGTAGAGCAGCAGGCCTCTAGTGTCTGTAGAATCCCCTGTTATCTAACTCAGATGTTCCTTTGCTGGGCACAGGGACCCTTAGGTCCCTTCATCAGTCCTTTACCTGAGACCCTAGTGCTTGCTGGGCTTTAAGTGAGGGATGTGCTAGTCTCTTTAGAGCCAAGCCAGCTTCTGCCAAAATAGGAGAAAGAAGAGTCTATAAACTCAGTGGTGGAGCAGACATACCCAAAGTCTTTTTCAGTGTGTTTCCCTGGAAGACACCCACAAGTGAATGTGAATTTTGCCTCTCTCCTAGCAGCTGATAACTTATTCACTTGTTTTTTTCTAATTCTTATGCAAAGACTGTGATACCTCATTTCTCTCTGAAGCTTCAGGAATGTACATTGGCTTCCCCAGAGCACAGGACTCAGCATAAAAACCGTGTAACTTAAGCATTACAGGTACTAGTCTCTAGTTACCAGTGTGGTGTGCCCTGGCACCTGCAAAGACACTGGGATCTGGCCGCCAGGGTCCAGCCCTCCAGCTCTGACCAGCTCTCTTTTCCTTCCAGGGAAAGTGCACTTCTTCTCTAGTGGTCTTCTGTTTTCTCACCGTCATCACGGAAGTATCGTCCTTTCCAAGGATCACATGAATGCCATTTCCTTCTATGATGGGGTAGGTGTTTTATCAGTCCATGGCTTTGATGTTCAGAAGGATACTCAAACACTTCTGAGACAAAAACCACATAACCCCCTGTCCCTGCTCCACTACCGTGGGACAGGATGTCAGGAACCAGCATTGCCCTTGAGGCAGGCAGGCAGGCAGGGAGTTCATGAAGAGGCCTGTCCAATTGTCAACCTCACTGCTCCATAAAGGGCTTAGCTAGAAAAGAGTTCTGGGTCCGGAGGGCCAACAGCTACCCATGCCCAATTAACTCATCCCAAAAAGGACCAGAAAGTAGGCTGAAGAAGGCCTTAAATGGCCCCCCTCCCACCCAGGGACACAAAGGCTCACCCACTTAAGAACTGGAAAGAAGCTGTTCCTCTAACATTGATGGGGCTCCATTCATCCATTAGCACGAGAAAGAATTATAAGATGAGCCAGAGAGAAGAGAAGTGGCTCACTTTCCCCATGAGGGCTCAGCCCCACCCCCTGACACACCCAGACTTCCCCTCCACCTCTGTGAAAGTTACACCCCCAGAACCACCCTTTAACTTCACCGGTTTTTTTTAACACTTTCCCCTCCCCTTGCAAGGAAGAAGGCAGCTGTGAGTTCTCCCTAGGCTTTTCTCCTGGCCACAGCACAACTCATCTCAGTATGACACTAGAGTGGAGGGCAGGCCCTCTAGTGTGTTTAGTTTCAGCCTCAAAACCAGCCTGTTTGAGTCAAGACAGAGACTAGGTGAGGTGGTATGGTCAGATGGCTCAGAAAATAAGTTCTGTGAACGATTCAGAGAAAATTCTATCTTTCTTCCACATAGAACCTGCTGCCTTAAAGGGTGTTCAGAAGGTCAAGCAGGCCAACAAGACAGAATGGATGGCGTTATTAGATGAAAACGTTGATGAAGGAAGAAAAGATGAATCGTTCAAGTGCTGGGACAATAAGTTAGCTAACTTGGGACAGGGGAGAATGGATTCTTACCTCATATCAAAAATCAAAATAAACTTCTGATAGATTAAAATTAAATATTTTAAATATTTTTAAGTTTCACAAGAAGAAAGAGGAATATAAAAATTTTCCAGAGACAGGAAAACTTTATAAGCTTACAAATGATACAAGAAATTCTAAAGGAGGGGCGCCTGGGTGGCTCAGTCGTTAAGCGTCTGCCTTCGGCTCAGGTCATGATCCCAGGGTCCTGGGATCGAGCCCCACATCGGGCTCCCTGGTTGGCGGGAAGCCTGCTTCTCCCTTTCTCACCCCTGCTGCTTGTGTTCCTTCTCTTGCTGTGTCTCTCTCTGTCAAATAAATAAATAAACTCTTTAAAAAAAAAATTCTAAAGGAAAAGTCTCAGATTTGACCACTTAAGGATTTTAAATATTTTTGCCAACAATTTAATTTATTGACGTATACTTTAAATACAATTAACTGTATCCATTTAAAGTTTTGACAAATGTATACACTCATGAAACCACTGTCACAATCAAGATACAGACAACTTTCATCACCCCTAAAGTTTTCTAATGCCCTTTGCAATTCCTCTTTCCCTCCACTTCTGGCTTTCTGTCACTGTAAATCAGTTTGCAGTTCTAAAATGTTATATAAACGGGGGTGCCTGGGGTGGCTTAGTTAAGTGTCCAACTCTTGATTTCAGCCCAGGTCATGATCTCAGGGTCCTGGGATGGAGTCCTGTGTTGGGCTCCACACTCAGCAGGGAATCTGCTTACAGATTTCTCTCTCTCTCCCTCTGCCCCTTCCCCTGCTTGCATGCGTACTCTCTCTCAAATAAATAAATCTTTTTTTTTTTAAGATTTTATTTATTTGACGGAGAGAGATAGCGAGAGCAGGAACACAAGCAGGGGGAGTGGGAGAGGGAGAAGCAGGCCTCCCGCTGAGCAGGGAGCCCGATGTGGGGCTCGATCCCAGGGCCCTGGGATCATGACCTGAGCCGAAGGCAGACGCTTGATGACTGAGCCACCCAGGTGCCCCAAATAAATAAATCTTTAAATAAAATAAAATGTCATACAAATGGACATCATACATTCTCTACCCTTTTAAGTCTGGCATTTTGCACTCAGTATAATGATTTTTAGATTCATCCATGTCGTTTATATCAAAAGTCTGTTCTTTTTATTGCTGAATAGTATTCCATTGTTTGGATATAGCATAAAATTTATCAGACTAATTTATAATTTGAAACTCTAAAAAGTCAAAGAGAATTTATTAAAAAGCAGAAGATAAACTGGATAAAACATTTTTGGTGATTAAAACAAATGAGTTAATATTTCTTTTCTATGAAGAACTCTGTCTTTATTAACATGAGGTTAGTTAACAGATACATGGAAGTACATCAGAAACAGCCTCACACTACCGTATAAAACAGTAAATCGGCAAAAAGTAAGTAAAAGGTCCTGTTGACAAGGAGAAATGTAAGTAGAATGAATATCCAGCCGTAAGGGTGGCTTTAGAAGATAGTGGGATGCAGTCTTTAAAAATATTTACAGACTGTTTGTAGCAACTTGGTAGATGCTAATGGTAAATTAAATTTTAAAAGCAGGTACAGGGACACCTGGGTGGCTCAGTTGGTTAAGCGTCTGCCTTTTGCTCAAGTCATGATCCCAGGGTCCTGGGATTGAGTCCCACATCAGGCTCCCTGCTCAGCGGGGAGTCTGCTTCTTCCTCTGCCTGCCTCTCCCCCTGCTGTGCTCTCTCTCTCTGACAAATAAATAAAATATTTAAAAATTAAAAAATTAAAAAGAAATGAAAGAAGTTCTAGATAAATGAAAAGACACCCCATGTTCGTGGATAGGAAGACTTAACATTGTTAAGACCACAATTCTACCAAAGCAGTCTACAGATTCAATGCAATTCCTATCAAAATGCAATGACATTTTTTACAGAAGTAGAAAAACCCATCCTGAAATTCATATGGAATCTTAGGGTATCCCCAAGTAACCAAAATAATCTTAAAAAAGAACAGAGTTGGAAAACTCACACTTCCTGATTTCAAAACTTACTACAAAGCTATAGTAATTAAACAACAGTGTGGTATTGGCATAAAGTCAGATACATAGACCAATGGAATAAAATAGCCCAGAAATAAACCTTCACATATGTAGCCAAATGATTTTTAACAAGGGTGCCAAAGATCATTCAAAGGTCTTTTCAACAAATGGTGCTGGGAAAATTAGACATCCACATGCAAAATAACGAAGTTAGATCCTTACTTTATGCCATATACGAAAAATTAATTCAAAATGGAGCACAGGCCTAAATGTCAGAGCCAACACTATTAAACTCTTAGAAGAAAACATGCGGGAGGGTATTATGCTAAATGGAATAAGTCAATCAGAGACAGACAATTATCATATGATCTCACTGATATACGGAACTTAAGAAACAAGGCAGAGCATCAAAGGGAAAGAGAGGAAAAAATGAAACAAGATGAAACCAGAGAGGGAGACAAACCATAAGAGACTCTTAATCTCAGGAAACAAACTGAGGGCTGCTGGAGTGGTGAGGGGTGGGAGGGATGGGGTGGCTGGGTGATGGACATTGGGGAGGGTATGTGTTGTGGTGAGCACTCTGAATTGTGTAAGACTGATGAATCACAGTCCTATACCCCTGAAACAAATAATACATTATATGTTAATAATAATAATAAAAACCATAGGAGTAAAGTCCTCGTGACCTTGGAGTAGGCAATGATTTCTTGGATTATGACACCAAAAACACAGACAACAAAAGAAAAAATATATAAATTGGACTTCATCAAAATTGAAAACTTCTGTGCATCAAAATACAGTATCAAGAAAGTAAAAACAACCCACAAAATGGGAGAAAATATTTACAAATCATGGGTCGCCTGGCTGGCTTGGTAGAGCATGTGACTCTTAATTCTGGGGTCGTGAGTTCAAGCCCCACGTTGGGTATAGAGATAATATTTTAAAAGAATCATATATCGGGGCGCCTGGGTGGCTCAGTCAGTTGGGCATCCAACTCTTGATTTCAGCTCAAGTCATGATCTCAGGGTTGTGAAATTGAGCCCCACATTGGTCTCTGTGCTTGGTGGGGAGTCGGCTTAAGATTTCTCTCTCTCCCTCTTCCTTCCCCCTGCTAAAATAAATAAATCTTTTTTTAAAAATCATATATCTGGGGCGCCTGGGTGGCTCAGTTGGTTAAGCGACTGCCTTCGGCTCAGGTCATGATCCTGGAGTCCCGGGATCGAGTCCCACATCGGGCTCCCTGCTCGGCGGGGAGTCTGCTTCTCCCTCTGACCCTCCCCCCTCTCATGTGCTCTCTCGCTCTCTCTCGCTCTCTCAAATAAATAAATAAAATCTTTAAAAAAAAAATCACATATCTGATTAGGGATTGATACTATAGAAGGAATTTTAAGATGACATTTTCAGTTTAGGAGAAAAGACCCTTACACTTCCCGTCTGTATCTCCCTTAACTGGGTATTGGAAAAGCACATCTATCATTGGACCCCAGTACACCACATAATGTGAAAGTAATTGCAGTGAAATTCGTCACATGTGTCCTGACAATAATTGTGAGGGCTAGTGTCATGCAAATGGCTTTTCTCACTGATGCTCCATCTTTTTCTTTTTAGGATTCCACAAGTGTTGTTGCTGCCCTTCTGATAGACTTCAAAAGCTCGTTGCTTCCTCATCTCCCAGTTCATTTCCATGGATCAAGCAATTTTCTGATGATTGCCCTTTTCCCCAAATCAAAGATATACCAAGCATTTTACTCAGAGGTAACACCAATCATTAACAAAACAAATACTCCTTTTTTTTCCTTAGGAGTTTAGATGGTAAGGCCACATCTCAGGGCTAAGAGTGAGGTGATGAGAGGCAGAGCTGGGAGGGCTGGTGGAGGTGGCTGCTTCTAATCCCCTTGGGTCCTAGAATGGTGCTTTTGCCATTGAGAGATGAGAACCTAAAGGAACTGAACAAAAGGCTTTTTAACTGCTAAGACAAATCTTCTTTGTCCCTTTAAATCCTAATTAGACTCATTTTTCTTTTAGCTACTTTATTGAATTATTTGGCCCTGCCTAATGGATCAGAGCTCTCTACCCCACCCTAGTCTCTCCCTTCCCATGGTTCACAGGCCCTCCCCTTGTGAATGGTCCCACCTAGCAGGCTGCATGTCATAGGCACTCGGTATAGATTGCATGAGGGGGAGCTTACCAAGAATTATACAACCCACTTAGAGACCAAGCAATAGCCAAAGTTAAACACATGGCCAGCCTCATGACTGGTGGAAATGTTCAGAAAGGTCTGATTGCCGCAGCCTGTGAGGAGACATTGTCCCTCTCTCAGGGCAGATTGACTGAACATGGAAGAGAGAAGAGCTGGCCTAGCTGCAGAGTGGCATCTCAGGCTAGTCCATATCTCCCTCCTGCTGCCCGCTGGTCCTCCCTACTTCTTTGTGCTTGTCCTTTCAACCCAGGAACACAGAGAGAGAGCCCTTTACATTCTCTTCAGCCATCCCTCTGCCCCTAGGCAGGACTTGTGTGACCCGCTCCTTCTTCTGGTCCTGTCCCCAGGGAAGAACGTGCCCCTGCTGCGAGAACAGTGTTACCTGACACCTTACTCCGTACTTCCTGGCCTCTGAAGTAGCAGAGTCCCTGGGAGAGGAACCCAGAAAGAAATTCTAGTTTTGAAAAATACAGAACAAAATTGCTGCAGGCCTCTATTTTTGAAACAAACTTGTTTGTTATGATGGTGTTTCTCTGTACTGACAGTCTAGATTTTCAACAACCATCAAATCCCCATGTGGATCCCATATCCTGTTGTTGGGTTTAAAGTGTTCTTTGCTCAAATTCTGTTTTGTTTAGGTCTTCTCCCCCTGGCAGCAGCAGGCTAACTCAGGGCTGTCTTTAAAAGTGATCCAGGAAGATGGATTATCTGTGGAACAAAAGAGATTGTAAGTGGCTGCCTTCAGTGTTTATGCTTGTTTCCCGAAGCTGTGTGTGTCTGCTCTCTCTGCAGGACAACTTATGTTATGTAACACAGGGGTCTTGGCTTCTGAAAGGGCCAGCGCAATCATTTCAGCGCTTCCCCTTGCAGGTAGCCAGTGCCCTTGGGGAAATAGAAGTCAAGAGAGATGAAATCCACCAAGAATCAGAAACCCATAATATTACCAAGGGTTTCAGGTGAACCTTCCTCTGTGGGCACACCCGTCCTCACACACTAATGCTGCATTGTGTTCCAAGTCAGTGAGATGCTTGTTTTGGAAGTGTTGACTGTGTCACGGGACTCTGGCTTGAAAGCATCAGAACAAGTTATGTAAAGTATGTGTGCTGTAGGGAGATGGAGTTCTAATCTATGAACTTTTGATATTCCAGACACTCCAATGCCCAGAAGCTCTTCAGTGTCCTGGGCCATTCTCCTGGGGAGAAACAGAGTCCTCTAAAGCTACTCCCAGCCAAACTTCCAGAGCTAGACTGGTGAGCTCCAGTTTTCTGTTTATAGATGTTTAATGTTCTAGCTTTTGAAATGTCAGAAACCTCAATGTTGGTCCTTTCTAAGCTCCTTTTTCTTCATAGCTTCTTAGGGATCAGTATAAAAAGTAGTAGTGACACCATACACAATTTTATTCTTTGGAGTGAATCTCTCTAAGGTTTCTTTTTTAGCAATTAAATGAGTTTCTCATGTGAAAGAGAACATTCAGGCAAGGCGGGTGATGGTAACATAATAGCATTGTCTTTGTTTTTCTAGGTTTCTTCAGCATTTCACCATCAGCAGCATTAGTCAAGAGCCTGTGATGAGGACCCATCTCCCTGTCCTGCTGCAGCAAGCTGAAATCAGCCCTACTTACCGAGTAGAAAATGACAAGGTACAGCAGCTCAGCATATATGCTGGGAATTCACAGGAGGATAATCCCAATAGGCTGCCCTTGGATCTTCTGTGTCAGTTAACAAAAAGAACTCAAGCAGAGTTCCTTTTGTAAGACTCTCCACCTCCTAGGATACTGATAGAATAATACACATGAAACCTGCTCTATATAATGAGTGTATACAGGCATCTGCAGTGACCCCAGCCAAGCCTCACAGCAGCCATAAAGCCCTGGCCCCTTGCCTTGCCTCCCCTGGCTTCTCTATGTCTTTCAAATTCTTGCTCAGTGCTCTCGTGCCATCAGCTCTTTCTGTTTGTGACAAGGCCTTACCTGGCAGTGGTTACACATTGAGCTTAATAAGAGGAAGGGCCTTATTAGTTGGGCCTTGCTGGCATCACCAGGGTAAGGTGATACTTTATAAACCTTGTCTTCCCAAGAGTAGATTTTAATCCGCTCCCATCTCACATGCCCCTCCTCATTACCCCTCCCACTATTTCTTCAGAACCAGATGTCATAATTTGCTCAGAGAGGGCATTATTTATATGCAAACCTAGAAGATGCTCAGCTGCAAAAGATAATAGGAGCACTAAGTAATTAGAAGCCTTGATTTTCCCTTAGGCAAGAGTTTAAGAATGAAAATGCCTGCCTCTTGTATTTTATTAAAAGGGTGCTGTAGGACAGGCCTTTAAAGTAAAAAGGTGTCTGGCTGCAAGCACATGTGCTGTGATTTGAGAGGCAGGGGCCTGGGCGATGAGGAATAGGAACCAAGGTGAGTAGGATAAACAAAAAGTTACATGGAGTACTGCGTGCAGGAGCAGAAAGGGATACAGAGTAGGGGCCTGGTCAGAGGGGAGGAAAGAGAACTGGTTCCCAGAAAAGAGGAGGGTTCCCTCTGCTGATATGACCTGCTCAAGTGATAAGTGCCACCGAGCTGAGCTTTAGTCTAAGTTATCTGTGACCAGGCCTGTTCCCGGTGAGCCTTGTGTATTGTGAAAGAAAACACATGCTATGTCATTTACATCAGTACCATTCAGCGATTACCTGGTTCCTTTCCTCCCCTGCTCGACCCCTGCTCTGTCAGGGGATTTCTTCAAGGTGTTTCGGAATACGTACCTGCAGAGGGCCCTGTTTTCATTTGATTGTGTGCTACGGCTAGGACAGTTCAGCCTGCTCCTCTTCTAGTCAAGACTCAGGAGTGCTTCCTATACCCCGTTTGCTTCCTTAGCTCAGGCCATGCAGTTTGGTCGGATTGGGCAGCCAGGCGGAAATATCCCTGTGCCACTCCTCTCCTTCGCTGAGCTTACTTACCACACCAGTTTTTTAGCCTGTGACATTTTGTCTCAGACCTCCTTTCTGCCCAGTGTTTTCCGTTGTATTTTAACTGATCTAGTCAAACCTGCTCCATGGAAATTGTATTAGTAACACTACATTTTATATGGTGTTTGCTATGTGCCACACACTGTTCTAAGCACTTATATATTAACACACACATATATTAACTCAGTTAATCATCACATCCACCCTGCAAGATAGGTTCTGTTGTTAGCCCAAGGTCACATAGCTAGGTGAGTGCTGGTGCTGAGGTTCAGACCCACAGAACCTGGCTCCAGAAGTCAGTTCTCTTAACCTTTTACACAACGCCATCTCCCAGTTGGATGACAAACCCACATGACTTTTCTTTCATGTAGGTAATTATCAGCATTGTAACTGGCCTCCCAGGCTGTCATGCTAGCGAGCTCTGTGCTTTTCTGGTCACTCTGCATAAGGAATATGGCAGGTTAGTATGGCTGCCGCCTTTGGTTTGGGGAAAGGGATGCTGTGCCTGGGCCCCATAGGCACTGGGAGACCTTCAGCATGTACTGGCCTTTGGTGTGATTGGTATCAGCACGGTAGCCATCCATCCATTTAACACGTTTGTACTGAGCACTTCCTGTGTGCCAGGTACTGTTCTAAGTGTGGGTGACAGATGAACAAAACAGACTAGAAACTCTCTGCCCTTGTGGAGCTTACATTCTAGTTTGGGAATACGATTAACCAGATAAAGTAGTATATTAGCTAGTGAAAAGTGCTATGGAGAAAACAAAGTAGAGAAGGGTATAGGGAGTTTGAGCTGGGGGAGGGATTGCAGTTCTAAATTGGGTGCTCAGGGAAGACCTCACTGAGAAGGGGACATTTCAGCAGAGGCTTGAGGAAATGAGGAGTGAACCTTTGGAAATCTGGGGACGAGCACTATAGCAGCAGAACCAGCACAGGCAAAGGCCTGGGAGTATGCCCTGTCAGCAGGGCCATTCAGGACTAGAGTAGTTAGAACTTGGGAGCTGGTAGACGTGATCTGTCCCTGACCACCAGGGGACTGCGTCAATTCCAGTGCAGCTGGGACACGTCGGCTTAGGGGAAATTGGGGAAATCATTCATCCATTACGTTCATATGGCCAGCAGGTTACTAAACAACCCTGGCTAACTGAACAGACATTTAATATCTAGTCAGTCTACCTCAAAGTAAGGCATCTTGCAGGAGACCGTAAAGAATGGAGAAGGTGGAAATCGCCTAGAAGTCTGGGAGTTCAGGGAGAATTGGGAGGTTGGACAGGTTTTAGAGACAAGCTAGGGAAATATTGGGCCTCTTCTAAGTACTGAGTGGCTAGCCAGTTCCTCCCTCATATCCATTGCTTTTGTTGTAGAACTAGTCTGAATTCTTTACCCTGCTCACTTCTTAGCAAGAGTTTTACTGAGCACCAGACTGAAACCATTTTATTGGATGGTCCTTCAGGAAATGACTGCCTGTTCAGAAGGAGTCTTTCTCAACTCCAAAGTCTGACTGATGGTCATGTGCTTACCTGACCTTTTTTCCTGTGGCAAGGCATTTACTATCAAAAGTTCCAGTGATAGTGGTTTCAGGATATGGAGCTCCCCACCCAGTGCTCTCCGCCTGTTTCTGTGATGCCAGGATTGCTTTCTCCTGTGCAGGGTCACTGGGCAGAATGTCTGTGGGAGTACTGGTCAGTCACATTTGAATCCACTGGCTGAGCCTGTGGGGCCAGACCATCAGGTGGCCCCCAGGCTGAGATTATACTTGCCATTTCCAGGTGGATGGTATACCGCCAAATCATGGATAGCTCCGAATGTTTTCATGCTGCCCACTTCCAGAGATACCTTTCCAGTGTCCTGGAGGCTCAGCAGAACCGCTCTGCCCGCCAGTCAGCCTACATCCGCAAAAAGACCCGACTGCTAGTGGTGTTGCAAGGGTGAGTACTAGAAGTCTTCTGGGGACAGTGGGGTATGGTGATGACCTTGCCATTACTGTTATTTTGTATGTGGCTAGCCTGGGGCACAGAACGACCTCCACATGTTCATGAGCAGAGTCTGCACTACCCAGAGAGGCCTTAAACAAGCAAGGACTCTGGTTGCTGTCTCGTGGCCCAGAGTGGCTGCTGTAGCTTGCACACAAGTTTTCAGTTTGGTTTCAGAGCACCTGGGTGGCTCAGTTGGTTAAGCTGTCTGACTTGATTTCATCTCAGGTCATGACCTCAGGGTTGTGAGATCAAGCCCTGCATCGGGCTACACACTGGGCATGGAGCCTGCTTAAGATTCTCTCTCTTCCTCTCCCTCAACCCTCCCCCCCCAAAAAAAAATTAAATTAAATTAAAATTAAGTTTGGATGGGGCACCTGGGTGGCTCAGTCGTTAAGCGTCTGCCTTCAGCTCGGGTCATGATCCCAGGGCCTTGGGATCGAGCCCCACATCGGGCTCCCTGCTCAGCAGGGAGTCTGCTTCTCCCTCTCCCACTCCCCCTGCTGTGTTCCCTCTCTCACTGTCTCTCTCTGTCAAATTAAAAAAAAAAAAAAAAAAGTTTGGTTTCAGTATCATGGTATCCCCAAAAGGTAGAGAATTAGGGAAGAGATTTTCTGGGCAAGATTCTTTGATAATTCTTGTAACAATAGTGATCCCTAAGCCTCTTCCTTTGCCATTTGTTTCAGTCCTTCCTCATGTGGAGTTGCAGAGACAGCCCTCACACTCTGCAGTCTTGAGCCCCACCATCCCCAGGATGGCTGGTCCAGGAAAGTTTCCTGGGACCCTCAGTGGGGAGCATAAGTAGTCCATCTGGGCAGGGAGCTCCCTCAGAGGACAGATTTGACAGAGTGAGTACTACTGCTTCAGGAACCCAGGCTTCAAGGAGCTTACCTTGACCCATTCTAAGGCCTTCCAGAGAGGAGTTCTGTGCAGGCCCACTACCCTCCAGGCCCAGAGGAGAACATGCCAGGTCAGGAAAACACAGGCTGTGGTCTTCACGATGCCTGGTAATACAGAAGCTTTTGGCAGTTCTCACAAAGTGCTTTTATGCTATGCTGTATTTTCTGTGCTCATAATAATTACTATGTGCAATTGGCTAATTGTTTCCAGTAAAGAGTAGGCCCAGATCCAAAGCCCTGTTGAGTCTCATGGTGGATGGTGAGAAGTGTAGAAAAGCCAGGCTGGTGGTCCCTAGGCTGGAGGCGGGCGGGACTGTGCACCCCACCAGCCCACCAGGCCATCGTTCCTCTCCTTCAGGCCTTGTTCTCACACCTGCCCTGGGCTTCCCTTCCTTCAGACCTTTTGTCCTGCTTATGGGCTGAGGTCATGGAAGCCACAGAGCAAGAGTCTAGGCTTGAAACCACTTGTGTGTTTTGTTGTTGTTTTCTTAAGTAGGCTCCATGCCCAGCCCAGAGCCCAACACAAGGCTTGAACTCACAACCCTGAGATCAAGACCTGGGCTAAAATCAAGAGTCAGACACTCAATGGACTGAGCCACCTAGGCGCCCGTTTTGGGTTTTCCATTGCTTCTAATGGTCAAAGGAATAGATTGGCCCCTGCCAAAGTTGAGAGTCACTGGGGATGTGGACCTGGAGTCAAATTCAGCAGTTTGACATTGTGTAGGGCATTGCCATCTTCCGTCACCTGAGAGAGCATCATTAATGCCTTGTCTCTGACAGTACTCATCTGCAAATGTGTCAGCTGCCCTGGCTGCTCTGGATTGCGGTAACAGTGTATAGCTAGCCCAGTCTGAGTTGTCCTCAGACCCAGCCTTTGCCCAGTCACAGTCCTGGGATGCTAGGGACCTCAGACTTCCCGAAGGACTCAAGTGGAAATACCAACTAAATGCTATGGCTCTCGCTAAGACACTGCTCTTACAAGCTGGGCCCATTCTCTTTGAGGCTCAGCAGAGAGCTCGTGGCAGCCTCCTTTTTGCATGATCATCTCCTTGGGGCTGGACCTTTGAGCCCAGTATTGAGAGGTTGCCGGTAAAGGGAGACTCCAGAGGCTTCTCAAATTGAGAATTGTATTTCCTGAATGTGGCTTTTATTTTCATTTATAGGATTCTTGGAGGAATGCTGTGATATAAGGCAGGGTTTTCTTTTGCCCCTAGAGTGGCCTGGTTCCATTTGGCTTACTGCAGCAGTGGGGCAGTGGTGTTGAGCTTTGATATCCGGTGGAGTTGTTGTTTTTAAAATCAATATATTTTGGGGGCACCTGGGTGGCTCAGTCATCAAGCATCTGCCTTCGGCTCAGGTCATGATCCCAGGGTCCTGGGATTGAGCCCCACATCGGGCTCCCTGCTCAGCAGAGAGCCTGCTTCTCCCTCTCCCACTTCCCCTACTTGTGTTTTCTCTCTCGCTGTGTCTCTCTTTGTCAAATAAATAAATAAAATCTTAAAATATACATATTAAAAAAATTAGAAATAAATAAAATCAGTATATTTTGAAATGATAAAATTTTAGAAATAGAGGACAGAGTGGTGATTGCCTGGAGTTAGGGATGGGAGTGGGATGCAGGAGGAAGGTGGGCGTGGTTATAAAAAGGCAGCACAAGGGATCCTGGTGATGTTGGAACTGTTCAGTGTCTTGACTGTGGTGATGGATATAGAAACCACAGGTGACAAAATTGTCTGGAACTTAAGCACACACACGCACACACACACATACATAAAACTGGGGAAATCTGTATTTTAAAATATTAATTTTAAGGAATTTGAGGGATTGTATTTCTTTATACTCCAGAATATTATAAAATCATTCTTTAGATTATTTAAAATATTTATAAACAAAGTCTCTCTCAAAACAAAAGTTGAATTAATCTAAAACACATGCCCAAATTGTAGGCTTAAATTGCAAACATAAAACAGAGGCCAGAGGACACTTGAATAGGATATCTGTTGTTTAAAAAGAAAGAAAGTTAAAGTCCTGCAGGAGTTTGGTTTTGTTTGTTGTTTTGCTTTTATTTTTAATAAAGAGAGAACTGACAAGAAAGAGGCAAACATGAAAAGCCAGGTTTTTTTGCCTTCATCGTGCATTCGAGGCAGTTTAGCCAAAGTGGTCAGGTACAAACTCTGGTAGCTGGAGCAGTGTGTTTCCTTCTGTAGTAGGCCTGCTTCCTCCTGTTTGGAGTCCCTGGCCAGGATGATTATAGGGCAAGGGCTGGGGAGGGAGGGAGGGTCTAGAGGCCTCCCTGTCCCAGCACGTACAGTGAGTGACACCAAGAGCCTCTTCCCTTGCCACAGCAGTTCCTGGTTGCAGTGCCCAGATGCACTGGTCTCACCAAGGACTTTGGGGCCTATTTTCACTCCAACCTTTTTCCATTGAATGGAATGCTCTGAAAACCTGGAAATTCTCTAGCCACTCTCTCTAAAGGATAATCCATGGTATTAAAATGACCAAAATCTGCAGGATTGGTAAATCTTTCAGTTCTTTTCGGTCCTTAAAAAATGAGTCTCTAGGCTCATACCAAACATGGAAAATAAAAAGCTTCCAAAATTTGTTTTTAGAAGAGGGGGAGAGCTAATGCTTAGGAGCAAGGCTGGGGCACTTAACCAGGAGAGTTAAATCTGGTAAACATGACCACAGAGATTTGGGGTAGTATATAAGCTTCAGTCGGTTCCGCTTAACAAGTACGCATGAGGCCCGGCAGTGCAGGCAGTGTGGGTGGTTCTCCTGCATCCAGGCCTAACCAGACATTGCAGAACCAGGAGAAAGAACCCCATGTGGCAATACACACATGTGCCCAGGCAGGGGGAGAAACCAGGGAGCAGAGGGCTCACTCTAACAGCTCTCTGGCTGCCAGGCCCTCATGGGGGAGCTCTAGAACCGGGCACACCCTATTCTTGATTGAAGCACTGCTAGTTGGTCGGAACTGAGGCAGACCTGGGGGTGGGGGTGTGAAAATTGTGTCCCGGATAAAGCCAAGGGCTGTTTTGCACGTGAGTTATTTGTAGGAGCTCAGGAAGTAGCTCAGGCAGGCTGTACCTATCCCCCCAGGCACCACCACTAGCTTCCCAAGGGCCCAGGCCCATATGATCAGCAGGGCTGCCTTCAGATTTTGCCTTCCCTCCTGTAGGAACTGACCTTTTGGTGATAGGCTGGGTCAGTTGGGAAATGTTCTCTATAAGGTAAAGAGTGGAGGCCCCTTCTTGGAGTGGCCATGAGTCTACCCAGGATTGAACATCCAGTTCATTCATCTGTCCTGTTTAGGCACCACAGATTATACCATTCAACAACCACTTTATGTTATTACTGTAGAGACACACTATAAACAAACAAATGAGAAAATACAGTGTATGTAACTGATGTTCAGTGCCGTAGGGAAGAATTGGGGCGGGGGCAGGTTGTGCAGAAGGAGGGTTGCTATATCACATAGGCTGTAGGAAGTCAGAGGATACCTTTCTCAAGATGCCATTTGAGCAGAGAACTGAAGGGAGCAAGCCTGGCAGACATTTGAGGAAAACAGCATCACAGGAGAGAGGACAGGGAGTGCCAGGGTGGAAATATGCCTGGCATGTTCAGGGAAGAGCCAGGAGGTCACAGTGGGCAGACAGAGTCAAGTAAGGGAAGGAATAGTAGGAGGAAAAACTCCTCCCATATAGAAGTCAGATCACAGACAGCCGTGGGGGCTGTTGTACGGGCTTTAAAAGCTTTGACGCTGAGTGGGATGGAAGCCACTGACTCAGTGGCTTAGCACGATCTCTCTGGCTTCTCTGTTGAAAACAGGTTGGGCAGGGGTAGGGGCAGAAGCAGGGAGGCCAGTGAGGAGGCTGTGGGATAGTCTGTGCAAAAGATGATAACAGTCTGGATCCAGTAGTAGTGGGAGAATGTGAGCAGCAATCTTATTCTAGTTATGTTTTGAAAATTGAGAAAAAATGGAGTCAGTGATGACTCCAAACAAATTTTTTGGCCTAGCAGCTGAAAGAATGGAGTCCCCTCTGCTGAGAAGGACAAGGCCTTGGGAGGGACAGGCATGGGAAATTGAATCATGAACATGTTAAGTTCTAACTGAAAATATTAAATTAGCTCAATACAAATTTTAGGATTATTTGTTCCATTTCCTTGAAATTGGCTCTGGAAGTCTGGAGTTTGGAGAGAGTTCCAGGCAGGAAATAGAAATGCAGGTGGGGTTTGACATGCATCTGCTGACCTACAGGGGTGCTCCCTGTTTCTCTCCTGTCTGCATGTTCTGTGAGGCAGAAGGAGAAAAAAAGCTATTAAAGGAAATAAACCAACCCAAGAGCTCCTAAAATGATTGGAAAACAGGCCTAAGGACACCAAGCCCGACCCTTAGAGCGCCAGGGTCATCTGCAGGCGTCCCTTTACTCCTGGAAGTGGTGGGGGATTCTTCCACCCACTCTTGCACAGTTAGGAGTACTAATGAGGTTTGGGGATGCAGAAACATTGTGGAATGCAGGGAGGGGCTCTAAATCTTTAAGTGGGGTGACCCCAACGAACCCAGTCACAGGCTCCTTCTTGTGGTTTTCTTTCCACCCTTGCTCACTCAGCCCCTCAGCATTCTGCAGCCCCAGTCAGTAGGCTAATCTTTCTCTTTTTTCTCCCAGCTACACAGATGTTATTGATGTCGTCCAGGCCCTGCAGACCCATCCAGACTCAAAGGTCAAGTCCTCCTTCACCATTGGTGCCGTCACGGTGTGCGTGGAGCCCCTGAGCTGCTACATGGAGCACAGGTACATGCTTCAGACCCTCCGCAGCCCACAGGATGTGCTGGGTTTAAAGGTAGAGAAAGCGATTTTCTTCCACCCACCGGAAGGAAACACATGATTATGTGTGTTTGTCTTTTGGAATGCATTAATCTACCTTATATGTGATGAATGCTCAATTGTTGCTTGATTAGTGCTAGGTTCTCAGAAGACACGTAGACCGAAGCCTCTCACCACTTTTGTGCACTGAAAAATTGTCCATCTAGGGCAGTGGGACTTGAAACAGCTTCTCCCCGAAAGAAAGAATGCCCATGACAGCCTTTTCTTTTCCCACAGGGGAGGTGCTTTGTTTTCCAGGTACTTAGAATATCTCATAGATAATTTTTCATATGGTTAAGCCTTTTTTTTTTCCGGATTATTTATTTGAGAGAGAGAGAGAGAGAGAGAGAGAGAGAGAGAGTGTGTGTGTGTGTGTGTGTGTGTGTGTGTGTGTGTGTGTGAACAGGCAGAAGGATGGAGAGAGAGAATGCCGAGCAGACTCTGCTGAGTGGGGAGCCCAACGCAGGGCTTGATCCCACAACCCGTGAGATCACGACCTGAATCGAAACCAGGAGTTGGCCGCCCAGCTGACTGAGACACCCAGGTGCCCCAATGGTTAAACCATCTTAAAACTGTCTTACCTCAGTTAATGACATTCGTTCTCATTACTAATAGGTGAACTTTGGTTTTTTTAAACTTTGGAAGTAATATAACAGCAACAAGGAAAATTGGGTAATAATTGGGGTGCCTGGGTGACACAGTCGGTTGAGCATCTGCCCTTGGTTTTAGCTCAGGTCATGATCTCAGGGTCATGAGATCCAGCCCTGCTTGGGGGAGTCTGCTTGAAAGATTCTCTCCCTCTGCTCCTCAGCACACTCACATGCACATGCTCTCACTCTCTCTCAAATAAATAAATCTTTGAAAAAAAAAAAAAGAAAGAAAGAAAATTGGGTAATAAATTACCCATAATCTGGGGTGGCTCAGTTGGTTGGGTGTCTGCCTTCAGCTCGGGTTGTGATCTCAGGGTCCTGGAATCGAGTCCCACGTCAGGCTCCCTGCGTGGCGGGGAGTCTGCTTCTCCCTCTTCCTCCGCCCCTCCGCCCTACTCATGCACGCTCTGTCTCAAATAAATAGATAAAATCTTAAAAAATAATAATAATAATTTACCCATAATCTCACTAACTCAATGTAACTATTATCATTTTTGTGAATTCCTTGCCTTTTTTATCTCCATTTTTTACAGTTATGGTATACATATAATTTTATATCCTTCTTAGGTTAACATATAGACATATTATGTAACTTAACATATATTTGTTCTAATATCACAATGGTAATTGCATTTTGATTAATTATAGTCATTATGTGTGTGGATGGACATACTTTTTTTTTTAAGACTTTCTTTTCTTTTTGGGGGCGCCTGGGTGGCTCAGTCGTTAAGCATCTGCCTTCGGCTCAGGTCATGATCCCAGGGTCCTGGGATCGAGCCCCATATCGGGCTCTCTGCTCAGCGGGAAGCCTGCTTCTCCCTCTCCCACTTCCCCTGCTTATGTTCCCTCTCTCGCTATGTCTCTCTCTGTCAAATAAAGATTTTATTTATTTATTTGACAGAGCGAGAGCGAGAGAATGAGTGGGGGGAGCGGCAGAGATAGAAGCAGACTCCTTGCAGAGCAAGGAGCCCAACATGGGACTCAATCCCAGGACCCTGGGATCATGACCTGAGCTGAAGGCAGACGCTTAACCGACTGAGCCACCCAGGTGCCTGGACATGCTTGTCTTAACAGTTTCCCTGCTGTTAGTCACATATGTTGTCTCCAGCTTTTCACTATTATAAATAATGCTGTGGGAAAATCTTTATCCATATGAATTTCTCAAATTTCAGATAATTTCCTTAGAATAGGTTCTTCAAAGAGATATTAATTATTTGCATGATCACTTTTATAACTCTATTCGCATTTGAAAATTGCTTCTTGAGTGGGTTTCCCAGTTCACACTGCCCCAGTGGTGTCTGGAAGTATCTGTTTCATCATCAGAGCTCTTCTCACTGGGGCGAGTTTCAAGCACTCCCTTGTCCCTTCACAGAGCTATTTGACTTCCTGTCCCTTTAGCCCAGTGGGATGTATCCCAGGTCTGTAATCGTGTGGTCTTTCTGGGTAGTCCAAAATACTTGTATCAGCTGGGAACTGATTGATCTACCCTTCAGCCTTCATCTGAAAGAGCTCCCTTCCTATTTGAGTCCCAAGTTGATATTTTTAGATTTCACATATAAACTCCATTAGAGTTTCTTCCCTTACCACCTCGACTGATTTCAAGAAACATCTTCACCATTTCTCTTCTCTTTAGCTGTGACTTAGGTTCTGCTTTCCCATAAAAAGCCAAGGTGTTCTGTTTTCCTTTTGTCTTAGGTTACGTTATGGTAGTGAATGCTGAGCATCACCACTGTACTTTGGACTGCCACATTGACTCTTCCTAGAAGTCATATTTCTTTTCCTCGAGCTTTTTGTTTGCAAATGACATATCCTTGAGCTTTTATTTAAAGATGAACTAAAGGGGCACCTGGCTGGCTCAGAGGAGTATGTGACATCTCAGGGTTGTAAGTTTGAGCCCCACATTGGGTGTAGAGATTACTTCAAAATAAAATCTTTAAAAAAAATAAAATAAAACAGGGGTGCCTGGGTGGCTCAGTTAAGCATGTGCTTTTGGCTCAAGTCATGATCCTGGGGTGCTGGGATCAGGCCCTATGTCGGGCTCCCTGCTCGGTGTGGAGCCTGCTTCTCCCTCTCCCTCTGCTGATCCCCCTGCTTGTGCTCTCTCTCTGTCAAATAAATAAAATCTCTTAAAAATAATAAAATAAAACAAAGATGAACTAAAGCAGGAGGTTTAATGTGTGACTAGATACTACCATTGAAAAAAGGTAGGAAAAGATATTAAGCAAACAACAGATAGGAGGTTATACTTCAGAAGAATTAGCCTAGACAATGAGTACTCTGCTGCACTGTCAAAAAAAAAATTTTTTTTTAAGGAGAAAAGGAGTTAACAGGGTAGGTGGGAAGAGCTCAAAGAAGAGATATAAAAGGTCTGGGGAAATGGGATCTTCTTGGGGGGGGTAATGTAATGTTCTAAAATTGAATTATGGTGATAGTTGCACAATTCTGTAAATTTACTTTAAAAATCATTGAACTACATACACTTAAAATGAGTGAATTTTATGATTTGCAAGTTATACGTATACTCAATAAAGCTGTTAAATAGAAAAGATCAGGGGGACAAAAAAGTTTAGTTAGCAGAAGCAGATGGAAAATGAACTGCTAGAGCCCTAGAAAGAAAACAGACAATAATAAAGCCACTATAGCAATGAAAATCTCAAAGCAGAAGTAGAATAGACACTGCAAAGACTTAAGTCTGTGTCAGAGAACCTCAAGCTTGAGAAAATAACAAAATGAAGAGGAAAAATAGACAAAGAAATGAAGATCATTAGAGAAAAGAGAGGGACTAAGTCTGTAGAATACAGACTTAGCTTTTGTGAGTACAGAAACCATTTCTGTTTAATGCTTATGAAATATCGTTGAATAATGGGTTTGCCAACATGTGAAGAATAAGGGTCCTTAAGAGAATTCAGATAAAGAAATAAGTGAGAAATATATAAAAGGACTAAAGATGAGCATATAATCTATTTAAGTATAGAAGTAAGGCTATATCATGTATGAATTGGGGTCGTGGAATATAAAAATATAACTAATAAAATCATGGGTTTTAGGACTATGAGTATACTAATTTCTTCAGGGTTTTTTTCATACTGGGAGATCAAAACTATTAGGTCAGTAAGTCATAGTTACTGATTTGCTCATATTTTTAGGAATTAATGAGAAATTTCCAAATTTACCTTTGAACTCCTTCCAGAAAGTAATTTACTATAGTGGTTTTACTAATGCTCTGTTGGAAAACTAATGATTAGTCCCTGCACATGGGCTATGCGCTGTTACATTCCATGTGTAAGAGGTACACATGAAATAGAATAAGAGAATTGTGGCACCCATGATCAAGAATAGAAAGTTATTAAATAAAGTTAAGCCCATTCCATTAAAAAAAAATTAAATGGCCAGTGTTAAACCCATAAATTAAAAAAAAAAAAAGAAAAATTTTTTTACATGGCCAACTGTGGAAAATTTAAAATACGGCTATAGTGAAAACAGCCCCTTCCATCAAGAACTGAAGAGTTGAATCTACTTCTTATACTTTGAGTTTGGGCTTGAGCATGTGACTTGCTTTGGTCAATGGGACAGCAAGAAGCAACAAATAAGCAGAGGTTTAAAAAGCATTTACCGGGGTGCCTGGGTGGCTCAGTCGTTAAGCGTCTGCCTTCAGCTCAGGTCATGATCCCAAGGTCCTGGGATCGAGCCCCACATCGGGCTCCCTGCTCGGCGGGAAGCCTGCTTCTCCCTCTCCTACTCCCCCTGCTTGTGTTCCCTCTCTCACTGTGTCTCTGTCAAATAAATAAATAAAAAATCTTTAAAATAAATAAATAAATAAATAAAAAGCATTTACCCACAGGGGCTTGCTCTCTATGTCTCTGAGAGCTGAGACCACCATATGAAGAAGCCTGGACTAGGCTGATAGAGGATGAGAGGTCACGTGGAAAGATAGGCCTAGCTTCCTCCATCTGAGCTAAGACCCCAGTTGGCTGTGAGTGAGACCATCTCAGACCATCAGCCCCAGCTGAGCTGCCCAAGCCAAAACAACTGCCCATCTAATCCACAGAATCGTGAGGAATAAATACATCATCGTTATTTGAAGCCACTTTAGTTTTGGGGTGGTTTATTACATAGCAACAGTGTAGGAAAATAGGTACATTCATACAGTGTTGATAGAAATATAAAATGATATAATCTGTTTAAAGACACATTTGGCCATTCCATTGCTAGAAGTTTGTATAGTTATATTTGTACAAATATTCAAAAGATACATATGTGTAGGGGAGTTTGTTGCAG